CTTCCTGCATGTCAGTCTGCTGCCTGTACTATATGGACTATGTTCCTGCCTTGACCAATCCTTTGTACTGACCATGCAAGACACCAGTCCCACTCATCCTCTGCTGACAACTGCATTACTAAAAAACACAGGTGGGTGTTTGCTTTCCAAAATGTGGTCATTTTGAGGGTGTTTACACCCTCAATTCAGGGCCTTCAACATGTAAAAGGTAGTTAGGAAATTAGATTTGTAATTTATTCCCCAAATAACACCTAATGGTGCTCCTTGGATGTTGAGCCTCTGTATGGTGGCCAGGCTGTGGAAGTCTTACACATGTGGGTATCCCCATACTCAAGAGGAGTAGCAGAATTTTTGGGGGGTGAGTAATTCTTGGTATGTACATGTTATGTGTTACAAATATCTTATAAATGAACAACATTGTGTAAAAAAAAAGTTTCATTTATTTCCACATTTTCCAAAAACTTGTGAAAAAAAATTACATGTTCAAAAAGACTCATTATGCCTCATAGAATATAAGTTGGGGTGTTTGCTTCCTCAAAATGTGGTCATTTTGTAGGTGTTTCCTTGTCCCTGGTGCTTCAGGGCCTTCAAAAGTGTTTATAGGTAGTCAGGAAATTAAAGGTGTAATTTATACTCCTATGAAAACATGATGGTACTCCTTGGATGTTGGGCCTTACTGTATGTGGCCAGGCTGTGGAAAAGTCTTACACATGTGGTATCCCCATAACTCAGGAAGGAGTAACAGGATGTGTTTTGGGTGTTGTAGTTCCAAGTATGCAAATGCCATGTGAAAAAAAAATCTTTTAAAATATGACAATTTTGTGGAAAAAAACACATTTTATTTACTTTAATTTCCCAAGTAATTGTGGAAAAAGATTACAGCTTCAAAAACTTCACCGTGCCTCGTACAAAATATCTTGGAATGTCTACTTTCCTAAAAGGGGGAGGGGTAATTTGGGGGATATTTGTACTGTCCTGGCTTGTTACACCCCCGGTCCCATCAAGCCCGACTTTGAAATACGTACGACTTACAGTGAAGTCGCATGATTTCAAGGTTGGGGGACATACCGATTTCAGTGCGATTTGCAAGACATCTGACACAGATCGCTCAAAATCGCACCAAAAGTAGTGCATGTACTACTTTATAGAAATCGGTGCGCTATGACCAAGTTGGAACCGCAAACTGATATGACCGCTGTAATTGCGTACAATAGGGTTGCGACTTGGGCATATGATTTGCAAGTCACATGTCATGCAAATTGCATGTCAAGTTGCCATCCGATGTGACCGGGTGTAAATCTCAAGAAATGAGATCTTCCATCAGTACATCAGATGTGATGAATTTCCATTGATTGGTACCATGGCTTGTAGACTCTAAAAACTTTCACACAGAACAAATAATATACACTGATTTGGGTTATTCTAACCAAAGAAAATGTATGAAGAACAATGACTTATTTCCAACATTTTAGAACAGAAACAAAGAAAATGCATTTTTTTTTTTCAAACCTTTTTGCGTCTTTTTTTAATGTATAGCGCAAAAAATAAAAAATAACCCAGTGCTGATTAAACACCACCAAAAGAAAGCTCTATACTTCTGAAAAAAGGACAAAAATGTCATGTAGGTACAGTGTTGCATGACTGAGTAATTACCAAAGTGTGAGAGCGCTGAAATCTGAAAATGGTTCTGGGCAGGAAGGGGGTGATACTGCCCGGTATTGAGGTGCTAAAGAAATATTCTGCCCCAAATCCTATGTTAAAATATGCTGTAAATCCCAGAAGTTTTAAGAATTGCCATTTGTAGAAATGCATCTCTGTGTGACCCATCTGTGGTGTTTCTATTAAAGTAACATACTGCACAAATATACATCCATCTGGGGCTGTTTTTGGTTGGTTTGTTGTTTAGGAGACCATTGGTCCTGGGGCTGGAATATTGAGGAACACTGAGGAGTGTAAACGGAGATGCAGCATCAGCCATTCTAGATGTCTAGTAGACCCATTGTGTCCTGGGGCTGGAATATCGAGGAACACTGAGGAGTGTAAAACGGAGACGTGGCATCACCCATTCTAGATGTTTAGGAGACCATTGTGTCCTGGGCTGGAATATTGAGGAACAACTGAGGAGTGTAAACGGAGATGCAGCATCAGCCATTCTAGATGTCTAGTAGACCATTGTGTCCTGGGGCTGGAATATCGAGGAACACTGAGAGGAGTGTAATAGAAATCGAGACTGGGCATCACCCATTCTAGATGTTTAGGAGGAGACCATTACGTCCTGGGGCTGGAATATTGAGGAACAGTGAGGAGTGTAAACAGAAATGCATCAGCGATTCTAGATGTTTAGGAGACCATTGCGTCCTGGGGCTGGAATATTGAGGAACACTGAGGAGTGTAAACGTAGACGCATCAGCCATTCTAGATGTTTCGAGGATGACCATTGCATCCTGGGGCTGGAATATTGAGGAGAACACTGAGGAGTGTAAGCAGATCACACCAACACAGCAGCATCAGCCATTCTAGACATGTTTTAGGAGACCATTGTGTCCTGGGGCTGGAATATTGAGGAACACTGAGGAGTGTAAACGGAGGAGACGCAGCATCAGCCATTCTAGATGTCTAGTAGACCATTACGTCCTGGGTGCTGGAATAAATTGAGGAACACTGAGGACAGTATGTAAAACTGCAGACGCAGCAATCAGCCATTCTAGATGTTTAGGAGACATTGCCATTGCGTCCTGGGGCTGAATATTGAGGAACATTGAGGGGTGTAAAACGGAGAGACGTGGCATCATCCATTATTCTAGATGTTTTTGTATCTTGGCTGTCTGGTGAGAACATAAAAGGTGGAGGAGTTTTCACACACTGCTGGTGCCTACAGGGAGTGCGTGTTTTTCTTTACACCCGGGGGACTTTTCTGCACATGCTTTGGAGAAGATGGAGAGGTCTGAATATAGGACATGGAATTTGCACTGCACACTCGCACATTAGGATTTGTGGCTTCATATCGATTTGCTTTTTGCTGATATCTGCACATTCTAGTATTTGTTCTATGAACAGAGAAATCCAACCCTGAAGCCCTTTCAGGTGACTTTCTTTCTGCATTCACCTGTTTGAGTAATTCATGGATTGAGGTTCATTGATTCCTTCCTTCTGTGTGTGTCATTGAACACTTTGAGCGCTGCACTATGACGTCTTTATCTGCTTTGTTTGGAGGTTGGCTGTGTCCCCTTCGTGTTCTAGCTGCTACTTCCTCTCAGAGCTCACTTCTACCATTTCACCTGTTTTTGGAACACTGTATCCCAGACCTGGACAGATTGCAGTTCCGGGGCCACATCTGGCCCTCTGGCTGTCCCTATCCCGGCCCTCCCATGGCTCCATGGTCCCCATAACTCCTCAATGAGGAAGCTGAGTGGCTCAAGAGAGGCATGCTGACACATGTCCATATGGAGAGCTGCAAGAACTGGAAGGAGAGAGCCGGAGGAGCTGATTGGCTATGCACAGGAGAGGCTCAGTTCTGGTGGCAGAACATTGCCTAGGAGACGTCCCAACGCTCTCCCACCACTCTGCTACCATGCCAAGAAGTCCTTCCCGTGTTAGCGCGCTCCACTCTGCACTAAACCCCGGGAATGATGTTCACCTGTCCTTCACTTCAGGCCAGGATCCCCAGAAATCCCCCCTGTACCCATCTCAGGCACTCTCCTTCCAGTCACAGGGCTTTTCAGAGGACATCTGACAGGGAAATGAGGACATAGTTATTACCACCCCCCACCACCTAAATTTTTCACCCTACAATGACACACTACCACATTGTAATTGTGTGCATTGTACATAGTGGTGGCATGACCTTCTTTGAGCCCAGAGGGGGAGGCTTGACAAAAGGTGCTGCTTGTCAGACTCTGCACCCCGAGTTAATAATGCTGCAGACACGGCCTGTTAATGTAGTCCCCTAATCCAGCTGTTATTTTACAGTTCGAGGGGCAAAAAAACTGTGGCTCAACCGTCCCATTTTTAACCAGCCCGAAAACCCCATCTGAAAAGAGAACCAATCTCATGAGCAGTGGTGCCTATTATTCCCAGTGCCAGTGTTTATTTTTCTATGTTTTACATACTTGCAGACCTTCCCGGTCCAAAATGACTATCAGCAGAATTCAGTTTGTCCTCCACAACCGTCCCAGATTGTGGCCACTGTCCTGGAGAGAATGAATGACCCAACCCTGCCTCCTAAACATGAGAGCTCCCCCTAGCGCTGCTGCCTGGAAACTGACATTGCTAGGAGGTCTCTTCATTCAGCTGCTACATACGTTTCCCCACCTTCAATCAAAGTCTCCTGACATTTAGGGGTCTCTTCATCAAAGCTTTGCCCAGCAATTTCCCCCGGTGATGGCCCGTGTAAACGTTCCGTCTCTGGGAATGGGGGGGCCACAAACAAATGCCTATTAGGCTCTTTGCTGAGACTTGTGCTCAAAATCATTTATAATGACAAGAAATAAATCCTGAGAAATAAAGACTTTCAGCTTCTAGATGACGAATTCCTATGATACTTAATGTCATCACTGAATAATACAATACCACACCGATATTCATCACAGCTGGACCAGCAACCGCTCACATCTGTCCAATACATTGTTTACAAATCACACCTCCAAGTGCTTGTGAAATCTCCCCACCACAAAATGTACTCAGCCAATCACAGGTCAGTGACTCAATTTTTTATTCTTCTCCTGCCATCAATGGCCAACCCCAGTCCCACACTTCATCCACATCTTTTGGTGACCTCTGATCTCCTTATGATACAAGTTTCTTCCATGATGAAGATCAGCCATGGAGTATATCTGAGGTGTATATCAAGGGTGTGCTTCTTTCCCCACATGAGAGCTGGGATGTCCAGCAACATTCATCTAGAAGACATTTTCCCGCACTCAGGACACTAATACACCTCCAGGGTTGTGTGGGACCCCCTGATACACAGGAAGACAGGACTTTAGTGAGGAACATTTCCCTCACTCAGGACAGGAAAGTGTCTTCCCACCCCCTGTGTGAGAGATCTCTGATGTTGTGTCAACATGGGATGTCTGTGAAAAACATTTCCTGTACTTTGGACAAGAATACGGCTTCGCCCCTGTGTGAGATCTCTGGATCTGTGTGAGTAAAGACAAGACTTATCACTGAAAAAACATTTCCCGCACTCAGGACAGGAATACGGGCTTACTTCTCCCCTGTGTGAGAATCTCTGATGTGTGTAAAGACTGGACTTCACTGAAAAACATTTCCCCACTCAGTACCGACCAAACCCCACACGGAGAATACGGCTTCTCACCCAAGTGAGAACTCTGATGTTTGTAAAGATTGGACATTCACTGAAAAACATTTCCCACACTCGGGACCAGAGGAATATCGGCTTCTCCCCTGTGTGAGATCTCTGATGTGTGTCAAGATTGGACTTTCTCTAAAAACATTTCCCACACTCAGTACAGGAATACGGCTCTCACCCAAGTGAGATCTCTGATGTTTGTAAAGATTGGACTTCACTGAAAAACATTTCCCACACTCTCGGGACAGGAATACGGCTTCTCCCCTGTGCGTGTTAGAGATCTCTGATGTGTGTACAGAGTCTGGACTTGTTTGAAAAACATTTCCCACACTCAGAACATGTATATGGTTTCTCCCCCCTGTGAGATCTCTGATGCCTGTAAAGGCTGGATTTCCCTGAAAAACATTTCCCGCACTCAGTACAGGAATATGGCTTCTCCCCAGTGTGAGATCTCTGATGGCTGTAAAAAACAGTGATATTTGTTTAAAAGCATTTCACCGCACTCATGGACAGGAATATGGCTTCTCCCCTGTGTGAGTTTCTTTTATGCACATTAAGTTTGGTTTTAGAATGGAAACATTTCCCGCACTCAGTAACAGACGAACCTTTTTCTCTATTGAAGAATGACAGCCCGGTCCCGCACAGTCTGAGGTTCCTCAGGATACGAGGAATCCGATGGTCCAGCTACACTGTGTGGTGCTGGACGGACATTGGAGGGAGCCGGGTTTTCTTCTGGACTATACTGTGTGATGTCCTCATCTTCTACTTTCCCAGTCTGGAGACAAAGTGAGACAATCCTCGGAGGTTTTTCCTCATCTCCCGGCCATGGACTAAAATACAAAGACAAAGAGGATTACTAGACAGGAGCTGATTGGTTTCCCCCCCCAAACCAGGACTCCGCCCACATCAGGCAGCTTGATTCTCTGAGGGAGCTTACAATTCCACCCTCAAGGGGAACTAGGAAATGGCTCCTCTGATCTCCTACCCAGGTCATTTCTTTATTCATGGACCTTAGTCTGAGAGTGAGGAAACAACCAGAACTGTCTTTTATAGGAGGGACAAGTGATGAGGGGATTATAGGACGAGGGTCCCCACCCCCTCTATCACTCAACGCCATCTCTCCCAACACAAGAAGTACTGCACTTTCTCTATTTAGTCCATGATTTAGTCATGAAGAACAGCAGGGCTGAGCCCCACCAGAGGTCAGAGAGTGAGGATGGGGGAGAATCAACCCAAGATGAAGACTGGCGACTGATCCTGAAGACCACCTCATCATTGGGGTATTGACTCCTCCCTCATTATCACAGTTTCCCTGTTTAACGGTCCAAAGTTGGAGGATGTTATCACATATTATTATCACCATGTAAAAGTCTGTGCTCCAATCACATCATCCCGATATAAAAATGTCCAGCTGGTGAGAAAAGGAGTGTGCAAAAGAAGTAAGGACTATGTAATGTACAACTTATTCTATATAGGATACAAAAGTTAGAGACTCAGTAACAGTTTGTATTAGACCTGATGTAATGTACACCATAGAGTATACAGTGTAAGGGTCATGACTCATAATATTGGTATCAGCTAAATCAGTGGAAACTTAAATGTTTAACTGTAGACAAGTTGCAGAGATCCCACACCGCTGCCTCCCATCTCCTGAGACTGCAACTCAGTGACTTGGAGACCTGAGACTATACAGACATATCCCTCCACCCGCCCCATGCACAGCCAGCAGACAACAACAGAGCAAGGAACCCTGGGAAGAAATGTTCTGTCAGAGATCTTACTAGACCCACGAGCATGGGGCAGTAAGACCCAAATCACATGTCCCAGGAGCCCTAGGTCCACATAATGCAGCCGGCTGAACCCCTGAACCAATCCATAAATCCGACGTCTAGAGGACATCATAAAATTGTGTCTGCAGCACAGAGGAAGGAAGATTATCCGAGAGAAATCCAGGAATACAGGACCGGGGAACACAGCTCAGGAAAGTGAACCAGTTGGGATATACAGGCTGATATCACCCAGTCTCCCCCGCCCCTAACTCTGGACCAATCAGTGAGCAGTATGGGTGGAGGAATTGAGATTTAGGTGTTCATGACCCACCTGTGCTGATCTCTGTATAGGAGTGTCCTCCTCTATAAATGTCCCCGTTATTCCATACCTCCTCCATAGACTGCTGATCATCTCCGCTCACATACGCCTCTTCTTCTTCTGCTTTCTACCTCAAATTCTATATCCCCCGATTGGATCTTCCACTCTAAATCAAATAATGGAAATGAGAGAAATATCATCTGTCTTAAAATATAAGATATTTAATATTTAGAACATCACATTTAAAAAATCCACACATTGCCTCCACAAGTCCATGTTCTAGATTCTCCATCCCACCAACCTTGATAATAGTGAGGGATGGTGTGACCTCTTCCTGTGTGGAATCCTGGAATACAGAGGACGGGGACATCTCTCTGGTGGTTCCCATGACTGATCCATCTACTCTGATGATGGTGAGGGATGGTGTGACCCTCCAGCCTTCCTGTGTGGAATCCCGGGAATACAGAGGACGGGGACATCTCTCTGGTGGGTTTCCATCCATGACTGGATCCATCTGTAGGAAACACACACACTGACTGAATACCATTGTTTCTATGTGTTTATCAATGATGGATGGAGATATCTAGGTGATCCTCCGTATCTGCTCTCTCACTACTCCTTTACAAATAAAGTCCTTCCTCTTACCGCGGCTGATGTGTGAGGGGCCGGCTGATTGTCCCCTCATGACGTCCTTTAGAGAGAGATCCTTGTGTCCTTCGAAATACTGATTGCCCCACTCGCTCCATGGAGAACATAGGACAGTGACACCCTGATCACCGATTATAGGAACCATGACAACACACAATGATACAGTAGACCATCCAGACACATCCCTTGTCTGTTACTGGAGAATGTTCCCCCAGAATTCCGCGGCACCTGCTTCACCTCTCTCTGTCACAGCAGCTCCATCATCTCCTCTTGGTGACTTTCTAGAATCTTCCTGCATGTTGTGTCTCCTCAGGGTTTAGGGAGAACACATGGGAGGCACTGTGATGGTCATATGATCACCTGACTTCAGAACAGAGAATTCTCTGTATTGAGGAACCAATATGGAATATTCATGTTAGACTCCAACCAGAATTCCTCTTCACCATCTCCGGTCTCCCCAGTCCCTGGTGTTTTTATTAATAGAGATTGAGAGTGGATGTCTATGTGAGACCTCCCAGAATTCCTCCCTCACTCTCTACCGGTCAGCTGTCCTGCTGTTATATTAATAGAGATAAGAGTGATGTCATGTGAGCGCATCGCCAGAATCCTCCGTCACCCTCTCCGGCTCAGGAAAGCAGGTAGATGAATCTCCAGGGTGAGGGTAATTTGTATCTTCTCAGTCATGTGTGACTCCGGTCCTCCTCCATCCTCATTGGTGCCATACATGTGATCTATACAGGTCTCCTTGTAGAAACAGGATAACTTTGGGAATTGAAAGTAAGAATGATTTGGATGGTATTGGTCCACACAATAATTAGGATGTGGATGTGAAAGGGGGGAAATAGGAGGATTGATGGACATTAAAATGATAACTACAGACCAAACCATCTTTGTTTCATAATAGAGTAAGGGAGGGTTATATCATCCCATCATGTTGTTTTTCTGCGAACAATCTGTGTCACATTGGGGAGATCTTCCCTTCCACATTCTTTTCCCCAAGTCAAGAAAAGAAGTGAGCAGGAAATCTCCCCCAAAGTGAGGGAATTCTGCGTTGTGTCTCCAGAACTAGTTTCCCCATTGGACGAATTTACCCTCTATTCAGTGATCTCTGATGTCAACCCCAAAATTTGGGACACTCTTTCACCTCTTTTTTGTTACAGAGTGGTCACCGGGCCACAAATGGAAAGATCAGCTCAGACTGAGCTATAAAAACTGACGCAGATGCTCTAATTCCATCTCTACTCCAACCCCAAAACTCACAAACGTTTTATTACCTTTAGTATATACCTTTAAAGAAAACTACCCGCCCCCTCACGGGGAACACGATCCTTTAGATTAGATTGCTTATGTGTTTTAGTCCCCAGAACTCTCCCTTCGGTCTGCGCTGGATCAGAAATCCACCTTTTAGCGAGCTGTTGGGATTAGTTTTGTCTCTCTGAACTTGGTTTTTGGATGAGTTTAGATCACTGCAGACAAGTGAATGATTAACTGGTTACATAGTCGGTAAGAGTAAAAAAAGGGAAAAAAAAAACTAAAGACACCCCGTTCCATCCAGCTATCAGAATGGCACCGGCCAGTGCGTGTATCAGCCTGATGCTCTATGGCACCATCCATTTTCCATATCCATTTTTAACATTGTGTTCTCTAAGATACACATCTAAAAAGGGTTAGTGATTGTATCTACACTATCTCCCCGCCTGACGAACAAACACCAACTGTGGAAGGGAGTTCACATCATCCATACACACTTTTACTACCCAATAAAGATATCTAACAACACATTTTAACCCACTTTGACCTCCAGAAGGTATTAACCCCTTCATAGACCTGGCCAATTTTTGCTGTTCAAGCACTATGCACTACCAACGTTACCTGGAAATTTTTTGCTCGGGTCATGCAACACTGAATCCCAAATGAACAATTTATATCATATTTTTTCAAACAACCACAAATGAATCGTTCTTTTGGTGGTGAAATTTGATCACATACTGGGTTTTATATAATGATATGTTAATGCACTACAGTTGTTACTAATTGGCAGATTGTTAAATGGTCACAAGATGTCTGTGATCTGCGCAGTTCAGATGACACAGGAAATATGTACAGCAAACTGCTGAGAAATGCTTGGGACTTGTATGCTGCAAGCCGATGCAGATTTCTTCTGTTCAGTTTCTGCTGACAGAGAAACTAACAGATCCCATGTAAGTGAGGTAAAGTGGGCTGGAGCATGATAAAAGGGAGAGGAGATGAGAAGAGAGGCAGAGGTGCGGTGTGAGAACAGTGTGATGATTCCAATGCTGATTCCCAGGGAGGCCTCAGGCTGGATCAGACTGAAATTGGAGGACGGAGAAGGGAATTATCCAGATTGTTGATTGTACTGAGAGGCAGCACTAGTCGATCCTGCAATGTAGGTGTCATATGCCATCGTCATCGCCATTTGGCACCGCTATCATCCAATGGGAATGACAGACAGAAAAGGGGCCCCACCAGCAACAAGGACATCATTTTCACACCTACTACCCTCAAGAGGACTGGTGAGAAGAGTTCCTAACCTACACCACACACACCACGCAGACCCATCATGTGATACAGGTTCCATACACGGTTTGTCTGTTGCCCGGTTACTAAGTTCCAGGAATTCTTAACAATGCTAGACTGCCACAGATAGAGACACAGTCCTCTGTAGCCCAATCAGTGCTGCGCGGAGGCCTATCTACACCAGAAA